GAAGAAGCTAAATCCAACGTGACCTTGAGTGTGATCAATTTAAATACAACAATGCATTTCTAGATATAGCAGTTATTTCTCCCAATATGTTTCTTGTACATATCCTTAAATAGATATTGACTCCCTAGCTCCATAATCTTGCAATTTTAAGGTTATAGATTCTAACACATTAAGGTCTAAAAAAAATCCTTGGGTTGAATGCACACTTTCAGTGACTTAAGTGCAATGTGAAGAACTACACCTGTCCTATTAATTTATAGCTTATTTATTTATAATTTGTAATAATGCATAGCTTCTAAATTTGAGGAAAAAAAAATGACAAGTAAATTAGTCATGCGACTATATTTTAGAATTGCTTATGCAGCTGCTCTGAGGCCTTTAAAAAAGCAGATACTTCTGTGTTCCACATGAGGAATCAAAGATGTATTAGGGAAAAGCTACAAACCTGCCTGTTAGGTATTCCAGACTTAAATTTTGAACTACTGAGATGTCCCAAGCTAAGGATTAGACTGAGAGGAAAAGCAYGTAGGGCTAAAAAAACACCTCAGAGACTTCTTGATGGGATATTTATTTCTTATTAAATGGTTCAAAACAATTCGTGCAAAGATTGTTTCTATTAAAATGAACTTTTATATTCACTTTCTCAAGTTCCCACCATTTTCCATTTAAGGGTTTTGAAACACCTTGCAGGTACTAATGTAATAAGCTCATGATATTTCTGTGAAGATGAGAGAAATTATTCTCATGAGGTTTAGACTGATTCAGCACTGCCTACATTAGTGGCAGGTTTCATCTTGATCCTTTTTCTTTTCTGGTAGTAGAGATTGCTCATGTGTATAACTTTTTTATGAAAGAGTTTATGTCAAGAGACTGCTACAAAGGAGACATAAATGATCTTAACAAACTAAAGAATAAAAAAGAAATTTAATGTGCAACAAAGATTGAGGTACAGAATAGAAACAAAACATTTATGTAGGAAAAAAAATACAACTTTGACATTAAAAGCACCAATATTCGCAATTTCAGATACATATAGGAAGTTACCAGCATACATCAGCACATTGGAAACAGCCTATTGAATTGAAATGGGGACATTTTGATATTTATTTAGTGTTGAGGGGGAGATGTTTTAGTTTTTGTTAGTATAAATGTTCTCTTCAATTATGTAATAAAATGGAATAATTTCAGTTATCATTATTGTGAATTTCAGACTTACAGGACATTTATGCTGAACATGCATTTTTCACATGGGGAGATTTACCAGTAGGAAGGATAGTGAGAACAGAACTGAGGAATCAGTGAAGGGAATAGTAGTTTTCTCATATCACTGTGTGGTTTTGCAAAAGCTCCACATTCCATGATGACCAAGAAAGCTGTACAGCTCCACTCARTTACTGCTGCAACTTCATCCAGCCTAGATGTGGCTTCAATACAGCACTAACATTATAGGAAAACAAGCCCAGGAAATTTCAGCTGCTACAACCTGTTTATCAGAATGTTTTTCCTCCTCCCACAATTGTATTCAGCAGTATTTACTGACCTGTTTTTAGGGGAAATAAGGAGCTGGGTATCACATCAGTAGCTGAATCTTCTTCCTCGTAAGCTATTTGGATCAGGAGGACCCTTAATAAATCAAGAAGCAGGTAGGAGCAGGGATAAGTGAATTTCCTGGTAAGGATTCATCACTGCTTCTTTCTGGAAAGCAGGGATATTCTCTGTCTCTGTAAAGTCATCAGATATAATATTATGTGCAATGAAGTATTCGGATTCCTGGAGCCAGATAAGGGAAACACAAGCACAAGCTTGTGACTTGTACCTAAAGAGCGAGGACTAAGGAGATGAGAACCCTAAATTTTGGTTCTTGTTCCATACATATTTTTGTATTTTCCTCTCTTACATGCAGCTATCASAGCATAAACAGTGTATGAAGCAGGTTACTAATTCTGTTCACAGCTGAAGCCTCTCTCACTTGGCAGTCAGCTCAAAAGTTTGCTATCTTTTTCTCAGGGCCCTACAACATTCTTATCTAAGCTGTCCATAGTTTTCCTCTTCATCTGTTTTTGTACTGCTTCTAGAGCTTCTTTGTTCATTCCCACACAAGCAAACAGGCACAGTAGGTCCAGTGAATTCTTTGTGTGTTGAATATACTGTACATCAGTACAGTACATGATGGGTAGGTCTGGCATGTCTGGGAAATATTGAACTGCCTGAGCATGCAATCCAACATGTCTGGGATTTCCATGCTGGCTATGTTCATAAGTCCTGGAAAAAWACCTACGTATTTTTCATAGACCAGTTCATTTTTTCACATGAGGGGAYTAATACATTGTAATCAGTTCACTCTCATCTTTTGATAAACTAAGCCTATTAAATTCAAGCCTCTGACCACGCATTGTTGTGTGCAGCATCCTCCCTAGCACTAAAATCACTATTGTGATTCCTTTCTGCAGTATCTCAGGTTTGTGAACAGTGTTTTAAAAATACAGTCGCAGGAACTGTATGCCTTATTCAAAAAGCCATCTCAGCGATGCTATACATAGAAGGCAAAACCCCTCCATGTGCCTCGTCAGTGAAATACATGATCAAAATTCAGTGTTTCCAGATTGTAGGAAACACAACGTTTTTACAAACCACCCTTATCCAAATGTCAGCGGGTTTTTTTGGTGGAAACTTCTGGTGACTCAAAAGCACTCTGACCCCTGCAGGTGCTTCGGCAAATTGTCAGGAGAGGGCTGAGGATGAGGGGAGGGAGAATTTTATCTTTGAGGAAACTTCTTGCTTGGTGTGTTGGTTCACCAGGGAGTATCGTCCATTTGCCGTTAACATTCAGAGTTTGAGGTCTTGTCTWATATGACCTTCAGGATGCTTCCCTAACCTACTGCTTTCAAGAACTCAGTAACACACAATGTTTTTGGCTGCTCTCAAATGTATATATTGGGTTTGTTTAAACCAAAACACAGCACATTTAGCAAGACCAGCTTGTCATTTACTTTCCAAGTATGCTTAAAAAAATGTATCACAATATCACTTCAAATACTATTGCCCAGTAAATCACTGTTTGTCCATTCGTTGTTGAGACACATCAGCAGAATGGTCCTAATTCATGTAATATATGCTGTATCAAGTGTTTTATCACACTTACGGGGTTTCACTGAAAGACAGACCAACGTCTTGCAAACTGTTGAGACTAATGTAAACATTGTAGCTCTTGAAGAGTACCTCCTACAATTTAGKTTAAGTCGTGAATGGATCACAATACGACCTGCTATTCTGCTACAATAAAACCATTATTATTTAAAAAAGAAATATGGGAAATGCTTTCTTTCAGACAAATATGGAAACGCTTTATTTTTTCAAATCATGTCACGTGGCTGCACTGTTTCCATTACCAAGGAGCCTGGACTAGCAATAGGGAGTCTTTGCTACCAGTAGGTATTTAAGCTGGAGTGAACAGTGAATTACAGTGTTTTTAAAACTCACTAGAAGGTACACGAGTGCTGACAAAGCTTTACACTATAGTTTCTCTTTCCTGGCGGTGAGTTTGGAGCTTTGCTCTTCTATAGCAACTGCTCAGTTGACGTGAGAACTGGCTCTCTATGCCAAAGCGGACAAGTGTGTGGGACTGGAGAAACTGTAGAAACCATACCTTTGCCCCTCTGTAATAATCTCTATTAAGGTTCCAGACCCTTCTTGCCAAAYTGTTGGCACCAGTACAGGCAACCCAAGTCGTCCCAGGCTCAGCAACCTGTAGCTGACACAACCCACTTGCGGAGCCAATGGCTTCACACTCTGATCGACCCCGGGCATTCCTGATCGCGGGACGCATCGTTCCCAAAGCTGGCATCGCACCTTAGGCTGGGCAGGACAAGGCAGCGGCAGATCCCGCTCTGCTATTATACCGAGGGGCTTCCCCTGCCGTCTCCTCCGCCCGGTCGCTGCCACACGCRGTTGCCGAGCGCAGACTAGGTGGCATTTTGACCTTCGGCAACACCGTTGGTTTTGGTTCCCCTCCCGCCGCCCCCTCGCCCCAGCTCGGGTCAGGCACCTCCGTCCGGCCGCTCTCCGCCGGAGCGAGAGCCGCGCCGAGCGCTGCCGCCTGCCGGCCTTGCCGGGCCAGCGCCACAGCGCGGCCGCACCTCCCGCCGCGGCTCCGGGCCGTCCTTGGCCCGCGCAACCCCAGCGCACGGCCGGCTCTGGGCAGCGAAGGCAGCCGCTCGGTACCGAAGACCGGCCGGTAGCCGCGGGCACCTCTTGACCGTGTGCCGGCGAAGAGCACCAGGCGGCCCGGGGCYGGCTTACGGTGCCGAGGTCGGCGGGCGAGCGACGGCACCGCCGCTTGTTTATGAGCGGGCAGAGGGGCGGCCCGGGATAGCGCTGCGCCGCCGCTGGAGCGGGACAGCCCCTCCCGCCCSCACGGAGCGGGTCCGCCGCGGCTCCCCCGCACCCGCGGGGCACCTGGGCGCGTCCGGGAGCCGGGCTGCGGGAACAGGGAAGGGCGGGGAACTACCGGCTCTCCCCCTCCGAGGCGCCCGGGCCGAGAGGGYGCGGAGCCGCCCCCCGTCCGGATCCCCGCGCCCCTCGAGGGAGCAGGCGGAGGAAGAGGAGGAGGCTCACGCCGCCGCGGCCGGCGAGGCCCCATTCGCGACTCTGCGCAGCGTTGCCCTGCCGGGGCTGCGCCCTTCGCGGGGCCCTCTCCCTCCCCGCCCCCGGTRTCCCCCGGGCCGCCGCCAGCGCGTCCCCGCGGTCTGGCGCCGCCGCCTCGCTCCGCGCCCGGAGCCCCGGGAGGGGGAGGGGAGGTGCAGGGGGAGGCGGAGGCGGCGGCCGCTGTGGGGCCCAGGCTGCTCCTCGCCTCCGCTGCGCCTCTTCCAGCCCCAGGATCTGGGGCTGGGGGGGCGCGGGAGGGAAAGGGGCGGGCCAGGCGCGGCAGCGCCCAATGAGGGAGGCGCGGCCCGGCTCTCGGGGCGGTGCGAAGGCGAGCATCGCCCAATGGGGGCAGGGCAGAGGGCGCACTTGGAGCGCGTTGAATACGAGGCAGAAGGCGAGTCACAGGCAGGCGGCGAAGGGTACGGAGCCGGACCGAGCCAGCAGCCGCTGCAGCCGCGCTCGCAGCCCCGCGCACGGACCGCGCCGAGGAACTGGGAGCCGGCGGGCRAGAGACGAACGGACTGAGGGACGCCGCTTCCCCGAGGGGGCAGCGGGCGGAGCCGCCGCCCGGAGGAGAAGTTTGGCTGAAGCGGCCGCTGCCGCCGAGAGAGGGAACTTTCCTCGGGGGGCCTTAGGCGGGGGCGGCGGGAAGGAGCCGCGGCACGCTCGGGTCCGCCGCCCTGCGAGGGGGCTTCCGAGAGGCTCCCCCCCGGCCCAGGCCGGGCTGCGGCGGCTGGGATGTACCTGGCAGCGGTCTCGGCGGGGAGGAGACGCCCGGGCGGAGACGGCGGCTGGCACCTGGCGGCCGCGGGGTGGCTGTTCCTGCTGGCCCTGCTGCTGGGCGAGTCGGGGACGCGTGCTCTCGTCTGCTTACCCTGCGACGAGTCCAAATGCGAAGAGCCGAAGAGCTGCCCCGGTAGCATCGTGCTGGGGATCTGCGGTTGCTGTTTCATGTGCGCTCGGCAGCGGAACGAGAGCTGCGGGGGAGTCTATGGGCTGCACGGAGCTTGCGACCGGGGCTTGCGCTGTGTCATCCGACCGCCGCTCAACGGAGACTCCATCACCGAGTACGAAGTGGGAGTCTGCGAAGGTGAGAGGGCGGCGGGACATCGTTCACCCCTCCATCCATCCCCCGGGGTGGGGGCACCCGGTGGGCGGCGGGAAGGGGAGGAGGGCGCACCTAAGACGTCTCCGACGCCTCCTTCCCATCCAGCCTCCCGCTTGTCCCATTTGCGAGCGTGCCGTTTAACCTTTTCTGCTTCAAATACCCCACAAACTCCTGCTTAGAAGTTTTGCTCTTAATTTTCTTTACCGTGAACTTTAAGGTTCTACCAATTCTCCCTCCTCGTAGCCTGTCACTGGTTTGCTAATCAGTATCAGCTACTGATGCCCGACTAAAATTCGTTGTTAAAGGACTCGGGAAGGGTTCGGCAGATGGAAATCGGTGGAGCTCAGTCATACACATATGATGCCTGTTCCGGATTCCCTCCTGTGTAAGGAAGCAACAAAGACCGATCATCTGTTATAAAGTTTTCTTTCCTGTTCCTGTCACTTAATATCTCTCTGCCTGCCCTGCTCGACATGTAGTGATAAGGGGTGTGTTTTTCCCTGCTGAAGCATCAAGGGGATGGGGAAATACCCACGGCAAAACTCCTCTTAAAGTCACTTCAGCTTCCTTCCATCTGCTTGTGAGGTGATGAATTGGTGTGAAATGCAAAAGGCTTTCACCTCCTTTCAGTTATTTATCTATTAGAGTTCCTAAGATTTCTTTTTTATACGTTATAATTTAACAAAAGGCCAGAAGCCAATGTTTAGTCTCTCTTTCTCCTGTTCCTCCAATTCCCTTTTTCTCCAAGTTGAGGGAAAACATGGCGCTGTAAAGAGATTACAAATAAGCAGTAATTTGGGATGTGTATAAATGTATAAGTGACTCGGAGCGGGAGCTTCGACAGTTCTGGAAAGGAGACGGAGGCGGTCTCCTCACGGCGGGTAGAGGGCAGCAGAAAGTCCAGAGCTGGTGAGGCAGCATCTGTCCAAAAAACTTGCATTTAAAATGATGTACTATTTTAAGAAAGCTAAACCTGGTCATTTTTAGTGGGCAGCTGACCTTTGTCCTGGCGCTCATTATTTGTTTAAAACTCTATTTGCCTCCRTAACAAATAAATTGCAAACCACAGCAGAGCAGGGCAGTGTGTCTCGCCTGTGCTACAGCCATCAGCCTCGGGAGCTGATGCTTGGGTGGGACGAACTCCAGATTAAAAACTGGTTTGTTAAACGTTTAAAAATGGCCCTAAACTTTTCGTTGAGACTATGGTGCTAACTATGTACCTTGCTGTAGTCTCTTTTTTTTAATGTGTTGCAAAAGTTTTTTTAAAATAGAAAAGTACAAGCTAAGGTACTTAAAAAATTTACCTGGTCTTGGAGGTGTTTCTYGTGTCGTTTGTCTTCTAGTAAAAGATGTGCTGAAACAGCTTCCCCCCTTGTCGATGGTTAAAGGAACTAAAAGCCTGCAGTCATTAAAGGTCTTAATGTTCCAGTTCCTTTACTGTATCACAGTATGGACATCTCTGGCAGTTTAGGAGTATTTCATTCCTTTGAAGTGATGCAATCTGTACGTTGCTGTAGTTCAGCTCATAACACATCCCATCTACTGTTGAAAATAGTATGAAGCATTTGTTGGCAAGATTGTGTTTCAATTAGTGTTGTGGTTAGAAACTAGTTCCAGCTGTCCCTATAGGAATAGTCTTAGGGGAGGGCGGTAAAGAGAAGGGAGATAACGATCTATTAACAATAACTAAGGGAGATAAAATAAGAAAATTAAATAGGTGAGTTATCTATTTATTTTTTCATTCTCACAAATGAAAAGCAACCAAGCTGAACTCTCAGTGTAATAGCTAGCCCTGGAATACCTATTAGTGAATTATCAGGAAACTGCCTCATTCTAAGGAACAGAAGTAATATGTTGTTCTTCATGGTGCATGTTTTGTAGATGAGGTGGCAGCAAGGTTAAAAGGGTACTGATTGTACTGCCTCTGGTCACTAATATGAGGTTGAATAGCTCTGTTTTTTTGATTGTGATGACCTAAACAGTTGTGCAGTTTACAGGCACACATGCAACAGGCTAGGCTGGTGATGCCTGATGTTAAGCCGTGCCTTTATCCATTAACAGAATAAAGGCTGCGCCTTTTTTGTTGTTTTRCACACTGTGAGTGCAAACCCTTTCCTTCCCCAGTCCAGGGGAAGTGTCTTACAGAGCTGTGTGAGTAGAAATTCATGTTTTTACTCTCCTTCCTGTSTCTTGCCTTTTCTTTCATTGCAGTTTTTTACACTGAAATGACCCCTACTGGCTACAGTTATAAGCGTGTTTTTTTGTATCATTTTTGAAGCTTCATCAGTGTCTTATTTCAGATTATCAACACATACTAGGTTACAGAAGACTGAGAGCTGGAATAGCAACAGGTAGAAATRTTTGTCTGCTAACTTGGTTTTAGCATTTAACAGACTTGACATAAATGAGTTCTGTAACACCTGACAGAGAAGTCTCTGGGGCATCTGTTAGTGGTAGTGTCTCCTTCTGAAATTATAAATGGACTGTTCTTCATTAAAGTACTGTTTTTAATTGAAATCTGTTGCTGATCCTGAGGTTGATTTCCCTTTATCCTTCTAAACCCTAAAGGAGGAAGTTCTCATTCATCTCACCACCTTAACTGTTCACATCTCAAAGTAGTTCTAAGGCTCCATTTGTGTCATTATCCTGAAGTGTGTAAAGCCTTTCCTGAATGCAGTTGTATTCTTAGTAATAATTCTGAAGCCCGGGTGCTGGCGGCTACACCTCTTGAAGGGCATTCATGAGAGACTTTGCACATCTCCGGCCTCTGTTGACTTTGCAACATCCTTTACAGGGATTTACTGGATTGGTTCGATGAGGTGTTAAGGGCCTACAGCCCCTTCCAAAGACTCTTAGGGTTGAGACATTTTGAATGCAAGGCAAGAACTGCCCTTGATCTCTTGAAGGCAGTCTTAGAGCAACCACTGAATTAAACTGAAGTTCTCCAGAAACACCTACCCTTGGCTTCTGCAGCAGTGTAGCTTGGCAGGGCCCTGTCTCTCCAGGGGGTCAGAGAGCCTTGAAAAAGCTCTGCCCAAGAAGTTAGATTACTCTGTGAAGGCATTTCTGGAGATGACTYTCTTGTCTGTTTCCATGCTTCGCTGGTTTCTGATGCTATTAGATGAAGAGGCCTAGATTGTTGTGCTAAACTCTTCAAAGTCATGACAATAGCAAATRATATAACACTGGAAATGAGCTGAAATTAACTGTGTAACAGAAATGTAAGTTTTTGTGATATATTTGAAATGCATAGTTAACAGAACTGTTAGTCTTACGGTTTTCTTAGTTTCTCTTTAAAATATATTTGCATATGAATTAGCCTCTGGGTAGATATTGAAAGGAAGTACCACTGTGGCACTATAATATCTTCTGCTTTGATTTTGGCTTGTTGGTTTGGTTTTAGTGAGCTTTGGGTATGTTTTTTGCTTTAGTTGTTGGTTGTGGTTTGTTTTTGTTTTTGGTTTTTTTTTTTTGTAGACGATAACAGTTATTGCTGTATTCTTCTTGCTTACTGTAGGTAATTTAAGGCTTGAGTACTTGTGGCTTGTCTGCTAGTGCATAACTGCTGAACTGGAGTTCCCTTGGAGCCAGGAGCAGGTTCCTGTAGCAGGTTTTAGGCAAGTATTGGGAACTATGTGTGTTAACCTCCTAGGATGACGGTAGAAGCTTGCCTTACTGTGGCTAGTCCTGGTTTCATTTACTGAACTGCATCTTTTTGCAAGTTTGGAGCATGACTGTCTAACTCCTTGTTGGGGCAAGCTGGGAGAGTTTGGATGTTTCCATGGTCCCTCTCCCCACCTTTAAGTCTGCCTAGTTTTCCTCCCTAATGAATATATAACGGCACTGTRTATGGTGTGTAACTAAAGCTTAGTGAAACTGGAGCTGATGAGAAGAATTTAATCCTTGAAAGCCCAGCTTTTTTTTCAAAATTTGGACCAGGAAAGCTAAGCTTGGGTTTTTTTTTTTTGTTTGTTTTGTTCAGGCATTGGTTTACATGTGTGCTAATGTAGTTCTTCCCTGCTTTGCTGAAATAAGAATAACATGCTTACAGACTTGATAGTAATTTTATCATAAGTCGTGCTGATGCTTGTAACTTCTGCAGCTAGTACCCTTTGGAGAACCTTGTTTTCAGTTGTTTTCAGTCCTGTGCTCTCTGATGGGTCAATGGACACAAAACCCTCAACTTGATGCTCTGTCTCCAGACAGATTGCTATACARCATGCTTGGCTTCTTGCCTGTGATGCAGTCCAGACCCCTAGAGATCAGGCAGTCCTTTGCTTCCAGTACAAGTTACTGAAGTTCAAGTAGTTTGGAAGTTTCATGTGGGTAACCCCGTTGTTTACATCTGTTTGGGCTGGAACAGTGCTGCCCAGAATTCTTAACTTTTTGTTTGGTAAGGTTTTTTTCTTTGTTATGTAGTGAATRGCTGGGGAAATGTTCAAGTGGCCCTGAAGTCCATGTGTCTGCAGAGAATTTCCTCCATTGACATCAAGTGTTAGAACTTTAGATGGTTAGTTGGAGACTTCATCAATATTAAGTGGTGTACCTAGAAGYTGTTGGCGTGAAGGCAGTCACACTACTTCGTTCAAAGGTTGTCAGCAATCCAGACTATCCAGGAGACAAATGGAAAAGCTATTCATGATGTCAAAAAAGAACATTATCAGAAAAATTGCTGAAGTTGTGAAACTGGAATGCAAAGTGGTTCTTGGTGAATATTCAGATTCTAATATGCTAGTCCTGATGAAATTTAACAGTCYCCTTCCCCTTATTCCTCCCTGCCCCCCTGAAACATTTACTAGGAAGATGCTGACTTCTTACACACAGACTGGATAATTTACAAGCTATTTCTGTTCTGTATTCTATCAATGCTGAAATCTCAACATCACTAAGAACATGAAACCCTGAGTGTGGCAAGGAGTTCGAATTGGATCAGCTGCTTATATGACTTGGAAATGGTTTCCTCTCTCTTTCTGGGCATCGTG